CTGGAGCTCTTTTGCGATGCTGGGACTCCATCATGGTCACCTCTGCTGATGAGCTCTGCATGGTCACCTGCAGCTTGCCATGCTGGCCAAACAGGAAATTGAAATTCAAAAGTTTGCGGGCCTTTTCCTGTCTACCTGGCCAGTGCATCTGAGTTTAGAGTGCTGTCCAGAGCGGTCACAATGGAGCACTCTGGGATAGCTCCCGGAGGCCAATACCGTCTAATTGTGTCCACAGTACCCGAAATTCAACCCAGCGAGGCCGATTTCAGCGCTAATCCCCTTGTCAGGGGTGGAGTAAGGAAATTGATTTTAAGAGCCCTTTAAGTCGGAAAAAAGGGCTTCGTCGTGTGGACGGGTGCAGGGTTAAATCAATTTAATGCTGCTAAGTTCGACCTCAACTCCTAGTGTAGACCAGGGCTTAGCAAAAATGGTCGCTTGTAAGCAGTGGTCTCTCTTTAAAGATTTGCTACCTTCAGAGCTGGGCAGCCAGAGAGCAGTGGTTGCTGGCCAGATTCCCTGCTCTGAACGCAGTGCTGCCGCAAGCAGCAGCACAGAAGTAAGGAAGATCATGTGTCCTACAGGTTGTTTTTATGGATGGAGTAACAAAATATGGTTGCTGGTTACAGACGACAGGTGGTCACTCTTCACAGTTAAATTATAGGAGGAAAACATTCTGTGGCCTCTGCAGGTAGTCACTCGTGATAGGTGGTCTCTCTTCAGAAGTGGTCGCTAAGACACATTTTACTGTATCACACAAGAAGATCTGGATGACCTTGAAAACTGGACTAATAGAAATGGGATGAAATTAAATAGTGCAAGGTCATGCACTTAGGGACTAACAACGAGAATTTTTACTATAAACTGGGGGTTTATCAGTTGGAAGGGGGAAGAGGAGAAAAAGTTGGGTGTACTGGTTGATCACAGGATGACTATGAGCCACCAATGTGATGTGGCCATGAAAAAGGCTAATGCAAACCCAGAATGCATCAGGCGAGGTATTTCCAGTAGAGACAGGGAAGTGTTACTGCCATTATAAAAGACACTGGTGAGGCCTTATCTGGAATACGGTATGCAATTTTGGTCTCCCATTTTAAGAAAAATGAATTCAAACTGAAACAGGTGCAGAGAAGGGATACTATAATGAGCAGAAGAATGGAGAACCCACCTTGAGAGGAGACTTAAGAAACTTGGCTTGTTTAGCTTAACCAACTGAAGGCTGAGAGGAAATACGGTTGCTCTCTGTAAATACAACAGAGGGATAAACAACAGGGAGGGAGAGGAGTTATTTAAGTTAAGGGTCAGTGCAGGCAAAAGAAAAAAGGATATAAACTGTCCATCAACAAGTTTAGGCTTGAAAGTAGGTGAAGGTTTCACCATGAACAGCCTTCAAAGGGGCAAAACACGTACCTGGTTACAAGCTAGATAAGTTTATGGAGGGGATGGTATGATGAGCTTGCCTACCATGGCATGTGGCCCATCTGTGATTGCTAGTAGCAAATATCTCCAACAGCCAGAGATGGGGCAATAGATGGAAAGGGCTCTGAGTTACTACAATGAATTCTTTTCTGGGTGTCTGGCTGGAAGGTCTTGCCCACATGCTCAAGATCTAATTGATCACCAGGAATTTTCTTCCAGGTCAGATTGGCAGAGCCCGTGGGTTTCTTTTTTTGCTCTCCTCTACAGCATGGGTCACTTGCTGGTTTGAACTGGAGTAAATGGTGGATTCTCCGTCACTTGAAGTCTTTAAATCATGATTTGAGGACATCAGTAACTCAGCCAGAGGTTAGGGATCTATTAGAGGAGTGTGTGAGTGAGTTTCTGTGGCCTGAGATTACAGGTGGTCAGACTGGATAATCACAGTGGTCCCTTCTGGCCTTAAAGTCAATGAGTCTACATGCATGCCTCAGTCCCCTGTCTCCCAAGCAAGACCACAGACTCTAAAAAGGTTCAAATGGAGCCTGTAGATTCCAGCATGGATAAAATGTCCTAATTCAACAAAGTTTGGGGAAAATGCAGAGGTTCTCTATGAGGTCAAAAATTTGGGTGTAAATGGGAATGTTGTCTAGCTTATTCCACTTTGATATTGTGCAAGAACAGGCTCATCCCATCAATTTTGGTCACATATAAGAAACTGAGTTTTATTTGCACACAGCAGGGGTGAAAGAGGTATGCAGAAGAAAGAGATGTTGTTTCTGGCCAAAAAAATCAAAGTGTCAGAGGAATATTCCAGGGAGGTGCAAGTAGCACCATTCAACAGGGACTAAGGTTAATCCTAATATAAGAGTGTGCCACTCTCCTATTGACTTAGATGGGAATTGCATCTGCTTACCTCAGGGAAAGCATGAAACCCAAGAGTGTTGGGAAAATCCACTCAGGTGTATATTAAAGTAGGACTGCCTCATATTACATTAATATTAATAGATTTTTAGCTGCTTTCCCAGCCTCAGAATTTTTACAGTGGAACTTACTGCTTGTATGGCCTCTTCCTGGTCACCTCCAGTCTTTTTCCTGCTACAACTCCCTCTCTTCCTCCTCCTCAGTGTACAAACTATACCCAGTTTGCAGGCTAAAATAATAGCAAGTTGGTGTACGTTGCCCTATTTTGTTACTTACCGTGATTTTCTTATCAGCTTACATCCAACAACTAACTTTCACCACCTCTGTACTTTGCTTATAAGTAGTTCTATACAATTCTGCATTGTATGTATGATACCTACATCAAGAGACGCTATGTCCCCAGGGCCGAAGAGTGCATAAAATATTTGTGAGGAAGACCAGACATGCATTAAGTGTCAGGATGTCAGCACATTTAGAAAGAGGTCAGAGAACAAAAAAAATTATTAAGGAAAGCAACACATAATGAAAAACTATAAGAAATAAAATATATATAGATAGGCTAAATGATTACTAAAGTTTGGGAGAAAATGTTTGTGACATATTTTTCATAGTGATATTATGATATGATTATGACATAATTATTATGCATTTTATGCAAGATAAGTCATGTGAGGTGTCATGGGAAAAGTTACGATTTGCTGAATATGAGTATCCTATCATATCATTTTTGTATCTGAATATTGACTATATACCTATATTTCAAATGTAGTTACATCTGGGTAATGCCCATTAGACAAGATGCTTTCAGTCTAGACAGTGGGTTGGGAAGGGCCTATTCAGGGCAGTGGGCCATTAGGAAAAAAACAATATGCCTTAGGAGCAGCTTATTTCCCACCTGGTGATGAACCTTCCTGGGAACACTCCAAACAGCCTGTGAGTAATGGCTGCTATGACTCTACAAGGACATGTGCTCAGATCACATGCCGGACTCCTTGGGATGTCAGTATTTTTCCACAGACTGACCTGGGAACCAAGCTTTGAAACAAAAGGTTCCCGCTATATGCAAAAGCTATACAAGGCAGGGTATGACATCATCTGGTGTTCTTCATTCCCCACACAAGAGGACTCCTGGAAACACCTGAGGAACAAAGACTGAACTGGGGGAAGTGCTGGACCCAGGCTAAAGGGATTTCTAGCCTGCGAATGAAACACCTGGGGATTCCAAGCTGTAAAGCAAGTGCAGCTTGTCCCTTAAGAATCTGTGGCCTGCTTGTATCATCTCTTAGAGTGAGAATCTGCTAATTCATATCCAATCAATTTAGCATATTAAGCTTAGTTTGTGTTTTTTGTTTCTTTGCTAGGTAATCTGCTTCAATCTGTTTGCTATCACTTATAATCACTTAACATTTATCTTTTGTAGTTAATAAACTTGCTTTTGCTTTATCTAAACCAATGAGTTGATGTGAAGTGTATGGGAATCTTAGCTCAGGGGCAAAGGCTGTTGCATATTCCTCTCCACATTGGAGGGAGGGGGTGAACTTTCTAAGCTTACACTGTACAGTTTCCTGTGCAGTGCAAGACAGTACAATTTTGGGCTTATACTGCAGAGGAGCTGCATGCCTGGGGAGTTGGGAGTTGCCTTAGCTGTAGCCTTTCCATTGTTGATTCATTGAAGAAGCTGGACAGAGAGCCTGCAGCTAGGTGTGGCCCCACCTATATGAAGGCTGGTAAAAGTGCAGAGTGGAGGGCTTTTCAGCTTGTCACAGCAATACAGCGTGAGAGGGAGCCCAAGCTGGCGGGATGGGGGCGGGGGGTTTAGTGGTATCCCAGTCCCAGGTGGCACCCTGGGGAGAACCCGTCACAGTGTAAACTACCCATAAGTATCTGAAGGGTAGAAACTTCAAGAGGGAGAGAAATTGTGTTGGGCAGTTCAAGTGATATAAAGGAGTCATTACATGAAATAAGTCATAGGAAAATGTAATCTACAAATTAGGAACAATTTCCTAACAGGGAGATCTCTTCAGGTTATGGACCAGGCTCCAAAAGGGAAGCAGTGGAAAAATAATTTTTTTGGTTCATTTAAAACTGAAAAATAATTGAGTAATAACGCTGTACTGGATATATATTGAAAGGTCTTTTCCAGCTCTAATTTCTATGAGCCATATTCTCCTATCCATTCTACATTACAGATTTCTTATCAGCTGTGGAGATCTCTGTTGATATCAAGGGAGTAAATGGAGAATGTGTAATAAAGAGCCTCAAGTGTAGATCAGAGAGGACAAATTTGACCTAGAAATACTAAGCTTCACTTTCTAATCAATTTCTTTGCTAATTCAGGCTTTATTTTCCCCCTTAGTTCCCCTTAGGTCCCAATACATTTCATTATAATTTTTATCAAAAAATAAGACTAAAGCAGGAACAGTTTGTGTTTAATTTGCTTTGTATGATAGTTAAATACGTCTCCATTGGACAAAGCAGTGATCTTCCTAAGAAGCTTAATTATTAAAAGCTCCATGCTGAATATATTTGCAGTCTTGCTTTTCTTATTTTTCAGACATACAGAAAATTGCTAAAACCAAAACCAAAGAAAAAATATTCAAAACTTCCGAAAAGGCTCAATAGCTCTAAGTGCAAATGAGGAAAAAACAAACAGTGAGACCTACTCTTGATTCTGCTGTCCATTTCTATTTTCGTTGGCTCTTGAGCTGCTGTAGCTGGAGGTAATTTCTTCCCAACAGTCTGAAATAAATAAATTATTCCTCTTTAAAACCTTTATTTTCCCAGTTAAAGCTTTAGCAACAGTGCAGAAATCATGAGCAAAAAAAAAAAAAAAACGGGGGGGGGGAGTTACATTAAAGGGACATGGACAACTTGAAATCTAGTCAGTTTGCAGGAGGAGAAAAAAGAAAAAGGTAAAAAAGGGGTCGGGGGGAGAAAAAAGAAAAAAGATTTCAAAATAGTACTCCTACCCTAAATGCCTCTGTCAATTTGTGTGTGATTTTACAGTCACATTTTCCTGTTTTTAAAAATACTTTCCTCTTCAATGTTGCTGTGTGAAAGACCCACAGAAACAAGATGGGTAAATGGATTATACAGGGAAACTGACTTTTATAAAGTGCTGCCAAACGAAGAAATAACGTGGAAAAAAAAAGAAAACAAAATCCTCCAATTTCCTTCTATCATACTAGTATTAGGTGTAACAAGTAACAATAGGCGGTAAACAAATTTCAGACATAAATGTGCTTTTTAAGTGGACAGTGTCCCTTTTTGTCATTTTAAGTACATATATTATCTAGTTCACCAAGCAGTATAATAATGCATCATCATCAGTGTTAGACAGCTAAGCTGAAAGAACAGTATGCACACACTGCACAACCATTATTTTTCTTCACTGACCGTGATCTTTATAGATGTACATTTTTTACTTTTAATTTTGTAAATATATTATTTTAACCTACAATGAAAATTATGCCCCAGAAAGCCTGGTAATATCTGTGGTCAAGGATCTGGCTACTTTTATTGTTTGTATAACCATGGCACCTAGGAGCCCCCAGTCATGGGCGAGAACCCCACTGTGCTAGGTCAGTGGTTCTCAACCTATTTACCATTGTGGGCCACAGGCTGAGAAAGACCGTGCCAAACACACACTGGCCTGACTAGCCCTGTGCTGCCAGGGTACCCCTTCTCTTTGGGGGAAGACCCACGCCACACCGATCCCCTGCCCAGTGCCCCCCCGACTCCCTATGCCCAGCACTCCCCTGCCCAGAGACACCCCCCTCAGCCTCCTGTGACCACACCGACCCCCTGCTAAGACTCCCCACAGACCCATATGCCCAGCAACACCCCCCTTCCCCCCTCCCAGAGACCCCTCCACAGAGCAGGGCCAGGAGCGGAGCCACACCCCTAGTTCCTGAGCCTATGCTTCCCAGCACCCCCCACATACTCTCACTTCCCAGAACCCCCTAACTCCCCCCCCCCAAGAAACCCACTCTCCCGTGCCCTGCCCCACACTCACTGGCCCTGCTGGGAGATGACTGTGTTTGCCGGGCTGAGCTGGCAGCACAGCCAGGGATCGCTCTGGCCCCTGGGGAGCAGTGCAAATAGTCATGCTGGAGCAGGAGTGGGGCCTGCCCAGGCTGGGCTCCCTCAGCACCCACTTGCCTGGCAGGGCCCCCTGCATTGGACTGCTGAGCTCTTCCCCTGCCACAGGGGGCTGCTTAGCCTTCCCTGCTGGCAGAAGCACTCCAGCAGGGCTGCCTGCTGCCATTTCCCCATCAGCTGTCCCTGTCCCCTGCCAGATCGGAGGAGCAGCAAGCTTTGCATTTTTTTTTTTTAGTGCATAATTGGGCAGCAGGTTGAGAACCACTGTGGTAGGTGCTGCACAAACACAGAACAAAAAGACAGTCCCTTCCCCAAAGAACTTTCAGTCTAACTATAAGACAAGAGACAACAGATGGATGTAGACAGATGGGGAAGTAAAAGTAAAACGAGACAATACTGGTTAGCAAGGCAGACAGTGATATTAGTGTACCAGCAGCTTAACCATTTTTTATAGGCCTTATGGAAAGTTTTGAGACGGATTTGAAGGAGGCTAATAAGGTAGTTCGTGGATGTTTAAGGAGAGCTCCTCTCACGCATGAAGGGCAGCATGAGAGAAAACACAAGGGTGCTTGTTTGAAAATTTAACAAGTGGGGCAATGGAGGTTGTCATCCTGAGCTGATCGGAGCCAGGATTTAACATTTTGACACTGAATGAGAGATGCTAGTTAGGGTGGGGATAGGCCATGAAGGGCTTTTGAAGTAAAGACAAACAAGCTTGTGTTTGACGCAATAGAGCGGGGACTCAAAGAGAGGGCTGATATTGCCGACATGGCAGGCTAGGAAAATGCTCTTTGTAGCAACATTCTGAATGGATATTAGTGAGGCAAAACTGCATTTGTCAAGGCCAGAGAAAAGGATATTGCAGAAACAAAAATGATAAGAGACTGGATGAGAGTTTTATCTGTATGGATGGTTGGGAAAAAACGTATCTTAGAGATGTTATGCAGAAAGGATTTGCAAGATTTAGACATAACCTGGATACAAGAAAATAGAGAAGTCTAAGTTGAAGATGATGCCCAGGTTACTGGCCTGAGTGACAAGCAGGATGGTGGTATTGTCCACAGTGACTGAGAAAGGAAGTGGTGGAGAGGGGAGGGGAATTCAGAGCTGTGCTTGGCCATGTTGTACTAGAGCTGATAGCTAGACATTCATGAGGCGATGTCAGAGAGACGGGTTGAGATTTTAGGTCTGGAGTAGAGAAGTAGATCTGTCAGTCACCAGCATAGAGTTGGTAATTGAATTTGTTTGTGGGTGAGATTATTCAGTCATAAGGTGAAGAAGGAGAAAAGAAGGGGACCAAGGACAGAGCCCAGTGGAACCCCCATAGAAAGCTGGAGGAAGGATGGGATGGATTCTCCAAATGATACACTGAAAGATCAATTAGAAAGGTAGGATCGGAACAGAAGAGGATAGTCACAAAAGCCAAGAGAGGAAAACATTTCAAGAAGAGGAGCATGGTTGCCTGTGAGGAAGGAGGCTAACAGGCCAAGCAGGATGAGGAGGGACTGCTAGTTCTGAGATTTGGCTAGGACAAGTTCATCAGAGACTTTGGCAAGAGCAGTCTAAGGCAGAAGCTGGACTGGAGATGGTCTAGGATAGAATTGGAGGAGATGAACTCCAGACAGTACATACATTCAATGGGAGACAATAGTAGACAATACATTCAATGGGCTGAGAGATTAAAGGGAGAAAGAAGATGGAGTGGTCGTTCGAGAGGCAAGTGGGGTCAACGATGGCTACATACCTCCCCACCACTTGGAACAGTATATATTTCCATATCAAAAACTCATCTATGGTTCTGCATCAAAAACTCATCTATGGTTCTGCATCAAAAACAGGTTGGGGCTATATTGGAGCACATGATTTAAATCGGAGGCACCACCTTTGTGATTTCCCCCAGAGTGCTGCACCCCCGGTCCACCCCTTTCCCAAAGCCACCACCCAGCCTCTTCCCGCCCCCGCTCTGCCTCTTTCTGCCCCCGCTCCTCCCGCATGCCACTGAACTGCTGATCGCTGGGGGCAGGAGGGAGGAGCTGATCCGCGGGGCTTCCAGTGGGTGCTAAGCTATTTTCTTTCCCACGGGTGCTCCAGCACAAGTACAGTGTAAGTCACCCTAGCTCCAACAAGAGAGTCAAGGGATTTTTCAAAATTTTTTTTTTGTAATGAGAACATTACTGAAACAATTAGGAAGAAAGAAATATTTTGGCATCCATATGCTTTTTTATTTTAAACACACCATGGGTGAATCATTGACTATACACTAAAACTAAAACCAAAACCAAAACCAAAAACAAAAAAACCCAATAAAAAAACCCATCCTTTTTTTGAGTTTAGCTCATGGAAAAATGTATGTATGACTAGAAACAATAGTTAATAACAAACGTCAACTAACTGAACACAAGATGAAGCTAGTGCATTCCAGACTTATGGGGTGAGCTGGACTGGTGAGCTTCCTTCCCTCCTTCCTTGGAGGGAAGGGAGAAAGGAAGGAAAAAGAATGGCCCAAACACCACTGTCTGCTTTACTGGAAGGTCAGCCGGAAACAAAGCAGCCCCTGGCCACTTGCTCTTTGCTCAGGACAGGAGGTAGGAGAGCAGAGTGGCACAAGATACCACTTTCTTTTGTAGAAGGGGAGGACAGAAGCCGAGCCAGGCACCCTTTTTCTTAAAAAGAGAGAAGATGAGAAACTGGCCCCCATGGGTGTTTTACCCAGCGGGGAGAGGGGGAAAGGAACAGAGTAGTATACATGGAGAAGAGTTGCTGGGAGGTCAGGATGCCCTGCAACATGATCTGGTATCTGCCAAACTCATTTATTTGGGGAAGAGCAGGGAGGTCCCAGAACTCAACAACAAGGAGAGGATGAGCCCAGAATTCATTGACGTGTGTGTCAAAATTAGGGAACGTTACAAATGAAGTTTTTGAAGGGCAACGGAAATGTCTAACTGGTGATGCAGAGGGGAGGGCAGGGCCCGTTGATTTACTAGGGAGAGGAAGTGAAGCTATAACAATGTTAAGTACATAAATTTGCCTTTAGATGGGCATGTCCTGGAGGCACAGGTACTTTCCACTTATGCCTCTAGGTCTCCAGGGAAAGGTATTCAGGAAACTTTATGCAATTTGTACATACTAATACCTCTCTTCTTATTGAAAGCTTGATTCAATTGCCTTTGAGTATATTTGGGTACATAGTATCTCCATTTCTTTTTATTCTGAATATCAATAAAACTTGAATTGTTAACTTAAAAATAGATATAAAGTCAGTTTCCTCCAGTGTTTGAGACACAGGATCCTCTCTATTCCAATATAGTCAACACTCTGACTGTTTATTAGGTTTTCAGAAGAATAAAACATACAGCCAACCAAGGACATGTCTGAGAAGAATCCCACAGCAGGTGTTACTTTCACAGTTACCAATCTATAGTAAGTGAAAGGACAGAAAAGGAGTCCAGAAGAAAGATAAATCCCCCTCCCCTGCTATTTGGGCCAGAGTTCCTGCTGTCGGCTTTCTGATTTGTCTTTATGTCATCCTAGGCCCCTTCCTAGGGAAAGTTGGCAGGTCAAGTACCTCCTGAGGTCATCAGCAGGTAACAAGGACTAAGCAAATCCAACTTTCTAATTCCTGCTGATCCTGGACACAT